TTCTGGGCAGAGATCCAGGGAGGAGGCTGTGTGTGTACACACACACACACACACACACACACACACACACACACACACACACACGGCTGTGCAGGAGCCCTATTGCCAGGAGCTAAAGGGAAAGAGACCTTGGGGCAGATCCTACGCCCTTCCTCCTCCTCTCTCTCCAATCCTTCTCATTCTCCTCTCCTTCTTTTCCCTTCCTTCTTCTCACTCTTTCCCCCTCCCATCCTTCTCCTGATTTTTCTCCTCCTCCTCCTCTTCTCTCTCTCTCTCTCATCATTCTCTCCTCCTCCTCCTCTTCTTCCTTCTCCCTCTCTCCCTCCTCTCATTTTTCTCTCCTCCTCCTCCTCTGTCTCCAATCCTTCTTTCTCCTCTCCTCCTTGTCTTCTTTTCCCTTCTTCCTTCTCACTCTTTCCCCCTCCCATCCTTCTCCTTATTTTTCTCCTCCTCCTCCTCCTCCTCCTCTTCTCTCTCTCCATTCTCTCCTCCTCCTCTTCTTCCTTCTCCCTCTCTCCCTCCTCTCATCCTTATTTTTCTCTCCTCCTCCTCCTCTTCCTTCTCTTCCTCCTCTTTCGTTCTTCTTCCTTCTCCCTCTCTTCCTCCTCCCCCTTCCATCCTTCTCCTTTTTATTTTCCTCCTCCTCCTCCTCTCTCCGCAAACCTCACTTCCTTCTAGGACTGAGGATGTTACTTAGCTGGTTCATGAAACCTCTGCAAGCAAACAATTGAGGTCAGAAAGCAGCAAGGACTCCACAGTCCCCCTCCCCCTCCTCTTGCTCCTCCTCCCCCTCCCCCTTCCTTTCCTCCTGCTCCTCTTCCTCCCCTCCTTCCTGCCTGCTCTTCCTGCTCCTGCTCTCTCCTTCTGCTCCTCCTGCTCCTCCCCTTCCTTTCCTCTGCTCCTGCTCCTGCTGCTCTTCCTCCTTTTCCTTTCCTTCTGCTCCTCCTTCCCCTTTTGCTCCTCCTCCTTCCCCTCCTTTCCTCTTGCTTCCCCTGCTCCTCCTCCCCTCCCCCTCCTTTCCTCCTGCTCCTGTCCTTTCTTCATGCTCTCCTGCTCCTCCCCTCCTTTCCTCCTGCTCCCCCGCTCCTCTTCCTGCTCCTCCCCTCCTTTCCTCCTGCTCCCCTGCTCCTCTTCCTGCTCCTCCTGCTCCCCTCCTCCTCCTCCCCTCCTGCTCCTCCCCTCCTGCTCCTCCACACTCCTTTCCTCCTGCTCCTCCCCCTTTCCTCCTGCTCCCCTGCTCCTCTTCCTGCTCCTCCCCCTCCTCCCCTCCCCCTCCTTTCCTCCTGCTCCTGCAAAATCCTTTCCTCCTGCTCCTGCTCCTCCCCTTTCCTCCTGTTCCCCTACTCCTCTTCCTGCTCCTCCCCCTTTCCTCCTGCTCCCTCTGCTCCTCATCCCCTCTCCCTCCTTTCCTCCTGCTCCTGCAAAATCCTTTCCTCCTGCTCCTGCTCCTCCCCTTTCCTCCTGCTCCCCTGCTCCTCTTCCTGCTCCTCCCCCTCCTTTTCTCCTGCTCCCTCTGCTCCTCATCTCCCTCCTTTCCTCCTGCTCCTGCAAAACCCTTTCCTCCTGCTCCCCTGCTCCTCTTCCTACTCCTCCCCTTCCTTTCCTCCTGCCCCCCTGCTCCTCCTCCTCCCACCCAATCCTGCTCCTCCTGCTCCTGCTCCCCTTTCCCCTCTTGTTAACGCCCTCCCCAAAGACAGGCCGCTTCCCTTCCTTCCCCCGGTCAATGGGGAAGGGCGGCTGGCGTGTGCGCCTGGAGGGGGCCAGAAATCGAAGCTACAAAATGGCCATTAAAAGGAAGGGGTGGGTGGGGAGAGAGGGAAGACTTTATCCTCTCTGGGGCGGGGGGGGGTTAAAAGCGGGAGGGGGAGGAGGAAGGGGAGGGGGGGAACCTCCGCCAGCTAATCAATATCCGCTCCCGGGGGCTTTTCTGTCTCTTTGCGAATCAATTTCTCCGCTCGTCTTGATGGGTCGGGTTACAGGGCTGGGATATCATTTGCCCAGTTTTTCCTGGGCCTCCCGTCCCTATCGTTGCGGGAGGGGGGCGTGCGGGGGGGGGGGAGCGGCGGAAAGAAGGCTTTGCTTTACCTTCTATATTTATGGGAGAGAGTGCGTTTGTGTCTCTTTTTCCCCGTTTTTTTTATGTTTATTTTTATTTTCAGGGCATTCGCGTGCATTTCTTTCATTGCTACTTTTTTTGGGGGGGGGGCGAAGGCAAAATGCCAGCAAAATATTTGTTTTGGGTTTTTTTCCGCTTTGCCACTTTCGCTTCTTTTCGCTTTTTACATCCGCTTGCAGGGGGGTGGGTTGAAAGATTTTGTTTTTTAAAAAAGGTGTGCAATTTGTTTGGGGGGGGAGAAAGGGGGGGGGGAAATAGGAAGGCAGCGGAGTAGAGTTGGCCCCAAGTATTCGGGTTTTTTTTCTTTTTTCTTTCTTTCTTTCTTTTTTTTTTTTCAAATCGCTTCCCTTTTCCATTCCGTTTCAGGAACTCCTCGGTTTAATAATCTCTTTAATCTCCGCTTTGAGTCCCCCCCCCTTTTTTTGTGATGTGCGGGGTGTGTGTAATTTTCCACTGCTTTCCCGTCACTTCGCCGTTTGCCCCTGCGGAGATCTTAACACTAACACGTCCTTAGGCCGTCGGAGGTGGCGGGGGGGGGACACGTATTGATGCCCCCCCTCCTCCTGAAAAATTAATGGAGGGGGAAAAAAGGGAACGAGGCGTTTTATCTCTCCTCCCCAAGGCCCCCCATGCTCCACTGCTAAAGTGGGGGGGGGAGCGAAAGGAAAAGCTGTGATACAAACGGAGAAGGGAGCAATTGGGAAATTTCTCTCGCTTCGTACCTCAAAAAAAAGGCGCTTCTGTTCCTGGCGATTCCCTTACATCCAGAGCGTGTGTGTGTGTGTGTGTGTGTGTGTGTGTGCGTGCGTGCGTGCGTGCGTGTGTGTGTGCAGACTCTGCAATGCACATTTACTCCCGAGCAAGTATCTTTGTGCTCAGTCTTGTTGGGCAAAGCTGTTCACATTTTCAGGACGAGGAAGGAAGGAAGGAAGGAAGGAAGGAAGGAAGGAAGGAAGGAAGGAAGGAAGGAAGGAAGGAAGGAAGGAGGAAAGAAAGAAAGAAAGAAAGAAAGAAAGAAAGAAAGAAAGAAAGAAGGGAGGGAGGGAGGAGAAAGGGAGGAAGGAAACAGGAAAGGGGAAGGAAGGAGAAAGAGAGGGAGGAAGGAAGGAAATGGGAAGGGAAGGAAGGAAGAAAGAGGAGGGAGGGAGGGAGGAAGGAGAAAGGGAGGAAGGAAACAGGAAAGGGGAAGGAAGGAAGGAGAAAGGGAGGAAGGAAGGAAATAGGAAAGGGGAAGGAAGGAAGAAAGGGAGGAAGTGGGAGGGAAGAAGGAAGGAAATGGAGAGGGAGGGAGGATGGAAGAAGAAGGAGAGGGAGGAAGGAAGAAAGGAAGGAAAGAAGGAAGGAGGGAGGGAAGAAGGGAAGGAAGGAAAGAGAGACAGAAGAAAGAAGGAAAGGCGAGATGAATGAGAACAATAAATAATAACAAATAATACAGAAGAAACAGGAAGGAAGGAAGAAAGGAAGGAAGGAAAAGGCGCCACTTCTTTTTAATAGAAACGACGACGACTCTTCCCCTTGACCTTTAAATAAATAAATAGCATCGCTCTCTCAAACCCCCCTGAACCAAAACGCAAAGAAAAAAGCATTTTTTGAGAAGGGAGAGAGAAACTATCTAATACTGCACCTTCTGATCTCTTACTCTTTCTTTATTTACCCCTCCCATTTTAAAAAAACCGCTTTGGAGAGAGAGAGAGAGAGAGAGATACCTCCCTTTGGCGCTAGATCTAACACACGCCTCTAACTATATATATATATATATATATCTTAAAAACCCTGCAGTTTTCCGGCTGTCCTAAACTGCTTCTTCGCTTGACTTTCCTCCCCGTCTTGTAAATTCCTCATCTGACCCCCTTCACGACCCCTCTCCCCGCCCCAGATTGCGACGAGGTTTTATTTTCTTTTAAAATCACGACCAGCGGGTTGTGTGTCTCTGTGTTTGTGTGTAGGGGAACCCAGAAAGAAACGGGAGCATTCTCTCTCTCCCTCTCTTTCTCTCTCTTTCTCTCTCTCTCTCTCTCTCTTTCTCTCTCTCTGTCTGTCTCTCTTTCTCTCCTCTCTCTCTCTTCTCTCTCTGTTTCTCTGCCTCTCTTTCACTCTCTCTCTTTTGTCTTTCTTCTCTCTCTCCTCTCTGTCTGTCTCTCTGTCTCTCTTTCTCTCTTTCTCTTTCTTCTCTCTTTCTGTTCTCTTTCTCTCTTTCTTCTCTCTCTCTGTTTCTCTGCCTCTCTTTCACTCTCTCTCTTTCTCTGTCTTTCTTCTCTCTCTTTCTCTGTCTGCGTCTCTCTCTTCTCTCTCTCTTTCTCACTCTCTTTCTTCTCGCTGTCTCTTTCTCTCTTCTCTCTGTTTCTCTGCCTCTTTCACTCTCTCTCTCTCTTTCTCTGTTTTTCTTCTCTCTCTCTTTCTCTCTCTTCTCTCTCTGTTTCTCTTTCTTCTCTCTCTCTGTTTCTCTGCCTCTTTCACTCTCTCTCTCTCTTTCTCTGTCTTTCTTCTCTCTCTTTGTCTGCGTCTCTCTCTTCTCTCTCTCTTTCTCACTCTCTTCTCGCTGTCTCTTTCTCTCTTCTCTCTCTCTGTTTCTCAGCCTCTTTCACTCTCTCTCTCTTTCTCTGTTTTTCTTCTCTCTCTCTTTCTCACTCTCTTCTCTCTCTGTCTCTCTCTCTTTCTTCTCTCTCTCTGTTTCTCTGCCTCTTTCACACTCTCTCTCTCTCTCTCTTTCTCTGTCTGCCTGTCTCTCTCTCTCTCTCTCTCTCTCTCTCTCTCTCTCTCTCTCTCGCCCCCCAACACACACACACACACACACACACACAGGCTGTTTACAGGAAAAAGGTCCCGGCGACGTTTCGCGTTTTTGCAACCCCGGGAAAGGAGCGGCGGGGGGGGGGAGGTGCGGGGGGGGCAGGCTGCAAACGGTTCCCCTTTTGCAAAACGTTCCTGCTGAATTGCTTCGATTGAGCCGGGAGGAAGGGGCAAGGAAAGCCGCAGGGACCCTTCCTCAAAGAAGGAAGGTAGGACTTGTTTCCAACCCCCCCCCCCGATTTTTGAAGGGGAGGGGGCGAAAGAAGAAGGGAGGGGGAGAGAAGGGGACGCCTTCCTTCCCTCCTCCCCCCCTTTCCCTCCCTTCCCCCCCCCCGGCAGTGAAAGTTTTTCCCCCCTTTCAATTTTTCGAATCTTCTTTTCAAAGAAAGCTAGCCAAAGGTCGGTTGGGTGGGGGATGGGGGGCTTTTGAGCTTGATTTATGCAGGGGGGGGGAGACAGACTCCTGGGTGGTGGTGGGGGGCGTTGAGGGGGGGGGCTTTGCATCCGTTCATGTCTGCCTTACAAGGCATGGAAGCCCCTCCGATCAGCCTCAAAAATTGAGAAGGCAGACGAGTTCTCTTTTGCTATATTTTGAATTTTTTTTTAAAAAAAAAATTGCCCGAAATTGTAGCGAGCGATCAGTTGCAAACAAAGGGGGGGGGAGAGAAAGGAAGGGGGGGAAGAGAAATTTGTCCTTTGAAGCTCCTGAGCGGATCGTTTCGTTGTAAAACAGCCCCGCAGAAGAGCCAAGGCTGAACTTTATAACCGCCGCGGAAGGGAGGTTTTATATAAAATCAGCAACCGGAGGAGGATTCGCAAGAAGCGGATGGAAATGAGCGGAGCGCCGCTTCGGGGAAGGCGACGGAGGGCAGGCGAGGCGCTGAGCTTTCCTGGATTAAATCTCGGTTTTATCCTCCGAGGTTCCCGCTGAATTTCCTTCGGATCCTGGCAGGAGACGCCCGGTAAATGGATTTTTTTTTTTTTCTGCCTTCCCTTCTCTTCCCGCCGTAATTTTCCTTTCCTTTCTTTTCCTTTCCTTTCTTTTCCTTTCTTTCACAATCTATTTACTTCCTTTCTTTTCCTTTCCCTTTCCCTTCCCTTTCCTTCCCCATCTATTTACTTCCTTCCCTTCCTTTCCCTTCCCTTCCCTTCCTTTCCTTCTCCTTCCTTCCTCTCCTTCCTTTCCCATCTATTTACTTCCTTCCCTTCCCTTCTCTTCCCTTTCCCATCTATTTATTTCCCTCTCCTTTCCTTTCCCTTTCCTTCCTTTCCTTTCCTTCCCTTTCCCATCTATTTACTTCCTTTCCTTCCCTTCCCTTCTCTTTCCTTCCCTTCTCTTCCCTTCCCTTCCCTTTCCCATCTATTTACTTCCTTCCCTTCCCTTCTCTTCTCTTCCCTTCCCTTTCCCATCTATTTCTTCCCTCTCCTTTCCTTCCCTTTCCTTTCCCTTTCCTTCCCTTTTCCATCTATTTATTTCCTTTCTTCCTTCCCTTCTCTTCCCTTCCCTTTCCCATCTATTTACTTCCTTTCTTTTCCTTTCTTTCACAATCTATTTACTTCCTTTCCTTTCTTTTCCTTTCCCTTCCCTTTCCTTCCCCATCTATTTACTTCCTTCCCTTCCTTTCCCTTCCCTTCCCTTCCTTCTTTTCCTTCCTTTCCCATCTATTTACTTCCTTCCCTTCCCTTCCCTTCTCTTCCCTTCCCTTTCCCATCTATTTATTTCCCTCTCCTTTCCTTTCCCTTTCCTTCCTTTCCTTCCCTTTCCCATCTATTTACTTCCTTCCCTTCCCTTCTCTTCTCTTCCCTTCCCTTTCCCATCTATTTACTTCCCTCTCCTTTCCTTTCCCTTTCCTTCCTTTCCTTTCCTTCCCTTTCCCATCTATTTACTTCCTTTCCTTCCCTTCTCTTCCCTTCCCTTCCCTTCCCTTCCCTTCCCTTCCCTTCCCTTTCCCATCTATTTACTCCCTTCCCTTCTCTTCCCTTCTCTTCTCTTCCCTTCCCTTCCCTTTCCCATCTATTTCTTCCCTTTCCTTTCCTTCTCTTTCCTTTCCCTTCCCTTCCCTTTCCCATCTATTTACTTCCTTTCCTTTCCTTTCTTTCACAATCTATTTACTTCCTTTCCCTTTCTCTTCCCTTCCCTTCCCTTCCCTTTTCTGAAACGGCTTTTTTTAAAAAGTGTTTTCCCTCTCCGGTTCACAATTCAAACCATTGGCAAGGTTGGCACTAATTTTTTTAAAAAAAGGTCTTTTTGAGGTGAGGTAGGTTAGATTGGCAGGAAAGAACAAAATGATCTTTTGATCCGAATCTGAAAAAGTCTGGGCAGTCTTTATGACCTTATGTTGAATTTCAACTCACACTTTTTTTTTTTAACAACTATGATGGGAATCTTGCCATGTTCAGCAGGAGGATGACATCAGGTAGATAAGAATAGCATCTTCTGAAGATTTTGCTTCCCCCCCCCCATCCCCTAAACTTTGTATGTTGAACTTTCCTTGCCTTAGCCAGACGGATTTCCACGGAAAACCTGAAAGTAAATATCCCCACTTTACCAAATCCCAGGACCCTTTAAAGGGGAGCTGGGAAGGGGGGGGGACAGAGGCTACCAAAATGCAATTTAATATAGGGGCAGTGGGGTTATAAAGAATTTGTTTAATGCTTAAGTTTTTCTCGTAATCTGTGCCCTTTAGAACAGAATAAAGTCTAAGAGCCCAGCTGTTTCCATGGGGGAAAATACACTATAAATGATGCAAGCCAAGGCAGGCTTTTAATTATTATTATTAGTGTTAATAAAAATAGCAATAATAATAACAACAACAGTAACTGTCCTTGGTTAGACACTGAATCATCAGAGAATGATCAGTCTAAAGATAATTTCTGTTGGATGAATCAACACAATAATAGAAGACAGAATAGAGAGTATCTGAAGGGACCCTGGGGGTCATCTAGTCCAACCCCCTGCTCAGGCAGGAAATATACCATTCCAGACAAATGGTTGTCCAGTCTCTTCTTAAAAACTTTCAGCATTCACAGCTTCTGGAGGCAGGTTGTTCCACTGATTAATTGTTTTCACTGTCAGGAAATTCCTCCTTAGTTCCAGGTTGCTTCTCTCCTTGATGAGTTTCCATCCGTTGCTTCTTGTCCTGCCTTCAGGCACTTTGGAGAAGAGGTTGACCCCCCTCTTCTTTAGGGCACCCCCCCCCCAAATATTGGAAGACTACTATCCTGTCACCCCCTAGTCATTTTCTTACAATATACCATGGAAAATGTTTATTGATAAGCATATCAACAACCCAGCGAGGTAGGCCACACATTTGTCTTCACACCATGAAAAAGTAGCTTTCTGGAATTGAAATAATAAATGCCTTTTTTGGGGGGGACGCAGTCTCCCCGAGTTCCTCTGGTAAGATTTGGTAGCCTCCATTTGAGAAATAAAATAAAATATTAAACAATTGGCCCACGATATTTGCAGACTGACATTGCCAAAACTGGATAGGTCTGGCTAGTTTAAAGCAAAATCTGGTTTCGTTCTGTAGAAGTTCGAAGGGGGGGGGGGAAACCCCTCCAAATCCTTACTCAGTCTTGCTGATTAGTCTTAGATATATATTTTCCATCCGTGCAAATATCTCCTCAATGCAAAAAGACCCCTGAAAGGGCCATAGCAATTTATGGCAATGTTAGGTAGGCCAAAAATTGCTGTTTTATATTGAAGACCAGATCAGGCAATCAAGAAGGGCAAAATGAATAGTTTGCCTAAATTCACTTTTGTCAAGTTTGCTTAAATCACAGTTCTCTGGCTTCAGCGATATGTGATTCCTGCCTGCCAACTATGAGCAATTTCTTCCATGAAATGTAAGCTTTGGTTACTGGAGAGGGAAAAAAACAAACACCATTGTGCAATTCCGGCAATATTACAGATAGTCCTCGACTTACGACGGCAAACGAGCCCGAAATTTCCATCGCTAAGGGAGACGGTGAAGGGAGTGTGTCGCCCCATTTTACGACCTTTCTTGCCACAGTTGTGAAGTGAATCACAAAACTGCATCCAGTTTTGGTCACCACAATGTAAAAAAGATGTTGAGACTCCGGAAAGAGTACAGAGAAGAGCAACAAAGATGATTAGGGGACTGGAGGCTGAAACATATAAGGAACGATTGCTGGAATTGGGTATGTCTAGTTTAACAAAGAGAAGGATGAGGGGGAACATGATAGCAGCCTTCCAGTATCTCAGGGGCTGCCCCAAAGAAGAGGGAGTCAAGCTATTCTCCAAAGCACCTGAAGGCAGGACAAGGAGCAACAGATGGAAACTAATCAAGGAGAGAAGCAACCTGGAACTAAGGAGAAGCTTCCTGACAATTAGAACAATTAACCAGTGGAACCACCTGCCTCCAGAACCAGTGAATGCTCCAATACTGGAAGTCTTTAAGAAGAGACTGGACAGCCATTTGTCTGAAATGGGGCAGTGGTTCTCAACCTGTGGGTTGGGACCCCATTTGGGGTCGAACGACCATTTCACGGGGGTCGTCAAACAAGGCTGTCCGCCATTTTTCTCCCTTTTCTTTGGCCACGCCCCTGGCACCCAATGATGTATAAGTGGTTGGGGGTCACCACAACATGGGGAACTGTATTATGGGGTCGCGGCATTAGAAAGGTTGAGAACCACTGGTATAGGGTTTCCTGCCTGAGCAGGGGGCTGGACTAGATGACCTCCAAGGTCCCTTCCATCATCATCATCATCATCATCATCATCATCATTATTATTGATCATCGCACAGTCAGCCAGATGTTCAGACTGGATTTGGCATTTTTGTCTAGCTATCGAGTCCCTTCCAACATTATTATTATTATTATTGCAGTTGTGTTTAATAACAAGGTTGTTAAGTGAATATAGCTCCCCCCCCCGAATTGACTCGGCTTGTCAGAAGGTCGCAAAAGGGGATCACATGAGCCTGGGACCCTGCGACCGTCGTAAGTACAAGTCAGTGGCCCAGCATCTGAATTTTGATCCCGTGACCGTGGGGATGCTGCAAATGGTCGGAAGTGTGGAAAACAGTCATAAGTCATTTATTCAGTGCCGTTATAACTTGGAACATTCACTAAACAAACCGTCGTAAGTCGAGGACTGCCTACGGTATACTGGGTGAAATAACCCACTCCGCTTCCCTTTCCTCCTTCACATCAGGAGCAGCGATGGAGAGCAGCTAATCCGGATTAAAAACCCCAATCCACACGGATGATCTAAGGGAGGATTGAAGAGCGCCTTCCGATCCTAGTTGGCTTGTTCGTTGTCGCGGGAAATTGGGGGCCCGGCTGCCACCGACCTCGGCTTAAAAGGAGACCCATGGCCAAATGGTTTAAGGATTATCTCTCTTTTGGGAGCAGGAGGTCTCCCCCGCAGCCCCCCAAGCCAGATTACACCGAGAGCGACATCCTAAAGGCCTATCGCGCCCAGAAGAGCTTAGACTTCGAGGACCCCTACGAAGACGGGGAAGGCAAAGCCGATCCAGATCCCGGCGGCTCGCCGAACAAGGGGGGCGGCTGCAGCAGCAATCTGGAGGGAAAATATGGGTCGCCCAAGCACCGTCTCATCAAAGTGGACGCCTCCGATCTTAACCGGAGCAAGGCGCTCCTTGCCACGGCGGGCGAAGAGGCAGCCGTCCCGTCGGATCAGGTAAAATGCGGTTCTGAGACCCCCCTCGTGGGTGTCCTGGGATGGGTTCGTCCCCTACGGGAAATAATAATAATAATTAAAAAAGAGGCTTCTGGTTTTCTGCTCTGTTTTCAGGGAGGTTGGGAATTGGCTGTTCTTCTGGAGGTATTTGTGAGTTGGTTTTTCTCGTGGCCAGGGGCTGGCGTGGTGGTGGGCTGGCCTCTTCCGCATCCCATGGGAAAAATTCCTGGCCAGAATTGGAATAGTGGTGTAGTAAGGGATAGAGTGGAACAGTTAACCAGGGGAACTGCTTGCCTCTAGAAGTTGTGAATGCTCCAACACAGGAAGCTTTTAAGAAGAGACTGGATGGCCATTTGTCTGGAATGTATAGGGTTTCCTGCCAGAGCAGGAGGTTGGACTAAATGACCTCCAAAGTCCCTTCCAACTCTCTTCTTCTTCTTCTTCTTCTTCTTCTTCTTCTTCTTCTTCTTCTTCTTCTTCTTCTTCTTCTTCTTCTTCTTCTTCTTCTTCTTCTTCTTCTTCTTCTTCTTCTTCTTCTTCTTCTTCTTATTCTTCTTCTTATTATTATTATTATTATTATTATTATTATTATTATTATTATGGATCATCGCACAGTCAGCCGGATGTTCAGACTGGATTTGGCATTTTGTCTACCTATCGAGTCCTTACCCAGGACCTGGGATAGGCAGATGTGGATGTTTGATGGTATTACAGATATCGTTGAAGGATGGAAGCAGTTCCTAATAAGGCCGCCTTTTGCAATTGACTAATAGCGAATTTGTCAATGCCCATGGTGTTCAAGTGGTGCTCCAGTTGTTTTGGGATTGCACCTAAGGAGCCTATTACTATTGGTACTACCCTTGCTTGCTTTTGCCACAGTCTTTCTATTTCTATTTGTAGGTCTTTGTATTTTGTTATCTTCTCCAGTTCTTTGTCGTCTATTCTGCTGTCTCCAGGCACTGCCACGTCCACTATCCAGACTTTTTTGTCTTTTTTATCGACAATTGTTAAGTCTGGGGTGTTATGTTGCAGGTGCTTGTCTGTTTGAATTCTGAAGTCCCAGAGCAGTTTAATTTTATCATTTTCTATGACTTTCTCTATTTTATGATCCCACCAATTTTTTCTTACAGGCAAATGATATTTTTTGCAGATCTTCCAATGCACCATTGTAGCTACTTTGTCATGCCGCTGCTTGTAGTCAGTTTGTGCAATCTTCTTGCAGCAGCTTACCAAGTGGTCCACTGTTTCTTCAGCTTCTTTGCATAGGCGGTACTTACTGTCTATTGCTGTCTTCTCAATTTTGACTTTATATGCATTTGTCCTTAAGGCTTGGTCTTGTACTATTATTATTATTATTATTATTATTATTACTATTACTATTACTATTATTATTATTATTTTGTGAGCGTGCATTGGATTGTGGGATGTTCACACCCAGCCCTGCCCTCCTTTTCATTACATTAACACAAATTAATACACCCAGCCCCTTCGCACTACCCCCAGGTTCTGCTGTTTTGTCCTTTGAAAGAAATACAGGGGGTCCTCAACTTACGACCGATCACTTAGCGAATGTTCAAAATTACAACATACCTGGGAAAAAACCAACAACCTCCATTTTAATCTTAAAATGGGGATTTAAGACCCCAATCCGAAGTTATAACAGCCACTCCTTCTCCATAGTCATGTGACAAATACTTCAGGCATTACGACCATTTGTAGCATCCCACAGTGACATGACTCCATTTAATAATAATAAAGATAAAGTTGGAAGGGACCTTGGAGGTCATCTAGTCCAACCCCCTACTCAGGCAGGAAATCCTATACCATTTCGGACAAATGGCTGTCCAGTCTCTTCTTAAAAACTTCCAGTGTTGGAGCATTCACCGTTTCTAGAGGCAGGTTGTTCCACTGGTTAATTGTTCTCACTGTCAGGAAGTTTCTCCTTAGTTCTAGGTTGCTTCTCTCCTTGATCAGTTTCCATCTGTTTCCATTTTACGACGCTTTTGCCCCAAAGTGGCACTTAGTTCATTTGTCGGCAAAACGACGCCATAGCTAACTATGGAGCCACTTAACGACCACCGCATTCACACTTATTACTGCCATGTTTGCTTAAAGATGGCCACAAAAAAAAAAAGAGAAAGTAAAGTAAAATCAGGCTGGTCACATGAGCGACTCATTTTACGACCATAATGGGCAAGCTTGATTTATAGTCGTAACTTGGGGAACTACCTATGCTCAGAGCAGTTGCTCCTTTAACAAATCGAAGGCATCCTGGGGGAATTAAAAAAAAACAAAACAGGATAATGTTCCGCTCTAGAAAAAAATACAGACAACCACAATGAATCCCAAACTCTTCATTGCTAAGCAAGACAATTATTAAGTGAGGTTTGCTCCGTTTTGCAACTTCTTTGCCACCGTTGTTAAGTGAATCACTGCAGTTGCTAAGTTGGTAACATGGTCGTTAAGGGAATCTGTCTTCCCCCGTGGACTTTACTTAGCAGAAAGTCGCAAAAGGGAATCACATGATTCCCCTGGGGACGCTGCAACAGTCATAAGTACATGACAGTTTCCAAGCACCCTGATTTTGATCATGTGACCATGGGGATGCTGCGACGGTCGTTAATGTGAAAACTGGTCCTAGGTCCCTTTTTTCAGTGCTGTTGTAAGTTTGAACGGTCACTAAATGAACGGTTGTAAGCCGAGGATTATCTGTAACCCGAAGGAAACATTTTGCAAGCAGGTTTGGCCCTTTTTTCTCTCCCTGTTCCCCCAGTGTCTTATCTTCCTGACTTTTGAGCCTAAGTTTTGAGAAAGAACTCACAAAAATGGCTTTTTAAGGTGTGCCACAAGAAAAACTGACAATAAAGCTTATCTTATCTTAAAAGCAGGAAGATCCCGAAAATTGGAGCATCAGAAGGCGCCGCTATAAAAAAAAAAAATCAAATCAATGATGTGGTGTCTCAGGCAGTTGTGATGGATGTTACTGACAACACAAACCATTTTTTAAAAAACAAAACAGCAACAACATTCTTCCTGAAGGGCTTTGACTAGATCGCTGCTGCCGTTTTGATCTGTGGCCTTCCTTCCCACATCAATCATGCGCTTCGACACTCAGTTGTCAAGTGGTTTGTGTCTGCCCGTGGAGGGAAAGGAGCAAGGCTTCGGAAGAACTGTTGATTGGCTTGTTTGTGGGGCTAGTCCTCATTAAACCTGGAAGAGTGGTGTTAGAGAGTAGAAAGCAAAATGGAGTAGAACTTCAGTTGCTATTATAATAATATTTTGTCTGTTGGTTCAGGTGCCAAATTAGAAATTAGGAGATGGTGAATTCTACTCCCACCTTAGGCAGGAAAGCCAACTGGGTGACTTTGCGCCAATCACCAGGAAACAGTGAGTTCTAGTACTGCCTTAACCATGAAAGCTGGCTGGGTGACTTTGTGGCAATCACCAGGAGACAGTGAGTTCTAGTACTGCCTTAACCATGAAAGCCGGCTGGGTGACTTTGCACCAATCACCAGGAAACAGTGAGTTCTAGTACTGCCTTAACCATGAAAGCTGGCTGGGTGACTTTGTGGCAATCACCAGGAGACAGTGAGTTCTAGTATTGCCTTAACCATGAAAGCTGGCTGGGTGACTTTGCGCCAATCACCAGGAGACCGTGAGTTCTAGTATTGCCTTAACCCCGAAAGCTGGCTGGGTGACTTTGCGCCAATCACCAGAAGATGGTGAATTCTAGTCCCACCTTAACCGTGAAAGCCCACTGGGTGACTTTGCTCCAATCACCAGGAGACGGTGAGTTCTAGAACTTAACCATGAAAGCTGGCTGGGCGACTTTATGCCAATCACCAGCAGTTTATAACTTCAAGTATTCACTTAACGACCGTGGCAGGAAAGGTCTCAACGTCTGGCATGATTTACTTAACAACCACTGTGCTTGACAAAGGAAATATCAGTCCCAATTCCCGTTGCTAAGCAAGGCAGTTGCTAAGTGGGTCAGCCCAGATTCGTTACCTTTTTTTTATCACCAATTGATAAGCCAATCATTGCAGTCATTACGCAAATCCAGCTTCCTCCATTGACTGCTAATCCGAAGCCAGTTGAGAAAGGTGCAAATGGGGAATCACGTGACCCCAAGACGCTGTAATCATCATAAATAGGAGCCAGAATTTCGATCGTGTGACCACGGGCATGCTGCTATCGTCGTAACTGTGAGGATCGGTTTTCAGTCACGTTTTTCGTGGCCACAAGATCCGAGGACGCTGCAACCTTCGTAAATACGTGCCAGTTGCCAGGCACCCTAATTTTGACGGTTGTAAGTGTGAGGACCAGGCTTTTTCGGTGCCGCTGTAACTTTGAGCAGTCGCTAAACGAATGGGCGTTAAGTTGAGGACTGCTCATAATTAACATAGATTGTGGCTCGTCTGCATTTAACGTGCTTCTATGTGTCTGTACCCAGGTGGGATAATAATAATAACAACAACCACCACCACAACAATAATAATAATAAAAGTTGGAAGGGACCTTGGAGGTCATCAAGTCCAACCCCCTGCTCAGGCAGGTAACCCTATACCATTTCGGAAAAATGGCTGTCCAGTTTCTTCTTAAAAATTTCCAGTGTTGGAGCATTCACCGCTTCTGGAGGCAGGTTGTTCCACTGGTTTTGAAACAGTAAAAAAAAAACAACTCTTAATTTTTAGCCCCACAGGGGAAAAAAAAAAGGCTGTTCAAAAGAGACCCCCAAATGTTTTCATTTTACATCCTCAATTTTCCCTCCTGTCCTTTTAAAAATTATATCCCTGCAGAGGTGCCGTTGGAGGGCTCATAAATAGGATACTATTTTTTGATTAATTATGTAATCCTAATATGTTTATGATATTATTCATGAGCTTGTTTAACATGGTTTAATTTGTCGGCTCCCCATGGAGGCCCCCGTTGCACTGCAAGGGGACTCGTAAAGAATTCCATAAATAAAATATTCCTGGGGAGGAAACGATTAAAAAAAA